AGATGTGAAAGGGAGGCCTCCCCCATACATCCGAAGACACATGTTTTAGTTCCCCAATCAGTGCTTGCACTGAAGGGGTCCTAGCGGAGGTTGAAAGATTTTGCGAAAGTTTCCCGCCGATTTTGGTGGCAGGCTGGGTTTCCGGGTTCCTGGTTCCGGGATCCCGGGTTCCCGGTCATTGCTTCCTGGCCGATTTCGGTGGGTTCTGGGTTCCCGGGCTCCCCGGTTCCCGGTCCAGCGGACACCATTCACGGATTGGGGTTTTTCTCTGGTTATATATATACACAGAATCGCACACAAGATTGTACCGGCTCGCCACGCTTCGCCGTTTCAATTTTGGTCGCATGGCGCGCGCTGCGACTGCCAGTGCTCTCAATTGTGGATAGGTGAACGTAGCGGCGCGTTCCCGGAGCTTTTAGAGGTGGCGGGCACCACGCGGGTCTGGAAAGTCCCCCGAAGGCTCTAGGGCGCACGAGGTTTGTATTGTTCATGACGGTCACATGGTCACATGTCTCATGGAGTTTGAACGGCATACGGGGCTCATCGGTTTCAACAGGAACGAAGAGCTCCCTGGGGTTCATGTTTCACGGGGCTGGGGCTGGAGCTTGGCTCGAGTTGGATCTGGGGCTTGAGCTGGAGCTGAGCTGGAGTTGGAATCCTGCAAGTACTGCTACAGCTCCCCGTCCTCCGTTTTCCTCCTCATCCTCATCCTCCTCCTTCTCCTTCTCCTCCTCCTCCACCTCCTCCTCCTCCTCCTCCTCTGCCTCCTCCTCTCGGAGAAAACGAAACGCTGGACGGTTGGATCGGGGCACAGCATCTCCATCCTGGGAGTGGGAGAGGAGTTGTAACAACACGGAAACCATGATAACCCCAGCAAAGCATTCTAACAGCAGTGAAGGTGGCCCATGGGGCCTGGTGTGCTTGTCGGACCTGTGGGTTTACCAGACTTGCTGCACCTGTGGGACCTGTGGGACCTGTCGGGCCCATGGGACTTGCGAAACTTGTGCGAGACGTTCGACACCAATGGTAGGACTTGGTGGATCTGTGGGACCTGTTATATTTGTGGTAACTGCGATAATTTCGATACTTTTGGAACCTGTGTAACGTTTGGGACCTGTGGGGCCCGTGCGACCTGTTGTGCTTGTGGGACCCGCGAGACGTGCGACACGTGTGGGACCTGTGGGACCTGTGGGACCTGTGCGACTTGTGGGACATGCGAGACCTGTGGAATTTATTTGGCGCTTGCGAAACCTGTAAAACTGTTGGACTGTGGCGCCTGTGGGACCAGTGGGACCTGTGCGACATGTAGGACCTGCGAGATCAGCGATACCTGTGAGACCTGCGGCACCTTCGACACCTGTGGGGCTTGTGGGACTTGTGAAACCTGTGGGACGTGTTGGACCTGCGGGACCTTTGGGACATGTGGGACCTGTGGGACATGTGGGACTTGTGGGGCCTGGAAGACTTGTGGGACCTAGGGGACCTGCGAGACCTGTCGGACATGTTGGACTTGTGGAACGTGCGGTACGTGTGGGCCTTCTGAGACCTGTGAGACTTTGGAGACCTTTGGAACGTGAGGGAGTTGCAGAGGCCTGTATGGGAGAATTCTTACTTCTTAGAGTCTGTTGGGGGCTCCCGAGATCAGATCGTTGAAGCATTTCTGAAGCTTCCCTGGGGGGTCTTTTGAAGACACCTTGCGGGCTTTGGGAGCCTCTTTGGGGCCTCTGGGGGCGTCTTGAGACCCTCGGCTATCTCCGGGGGTATGTTGGGGGGACAAGCTCGAAATGTCAGTTTGGGTTGTCCTTCTTAGGGCCCTCTTGGGTCGTATTGCGGGGCTTCTTGGATTGTCTTGGGGCCCTCTGGGCCGTTTGGGGGGCCTTTCGGGCCGTCTTGGGGCCCTCTGAAGAACCACTTGGGCCATCTTGGGGCGATCTTGGGGGCTTTGGCCGTCTTGCGAGGTCGGAAGCTTGAAAAAGCGAGAACGTTAAAATCGATCGAAAGCCTTTCGTGGGGTGTCTTCTGGGCTCTTTCGGCCGTCCTGAGACCAGCGTGGGCGTTCTGGAGCGGTCTTGGGCCGTTTCGGTGCTCCGCGGGACCGGGAAGCGATCCTGGGCCTGCTTTTGCGGCTCAAGGATTCATACTAATATTCGAGACGGGATATCCAGGTATAGCCACATATCTACATCTACATACATACATACACATGCACATAAAACACTTACATGCATACATACATACGTACGTACATGCGTGCATACAGACAGACAAACAGACAGACAGACCCACAGACAGACATACGGACATACTTATAGTCACATTTACATGTATGCATACATACATTTATACATGTATACATACATACATCCATCCATACATCCATCCGTTTTCATTCCCATCCATTCATAGATATGTATACCCATGTAACGAGGTGTGTAAATATTTAGAGATGTATAGCTGCAGCCACAGAACAGCCGAAACCAACCAGCAATCACTGATCGCTTCTCCTCGCCCATCCTTCTCCTCACCCTTCTCTTTCTCGATTCGTCCTGTTTGAAGCAACACCAATCCAAGACTACACTGCGTTTGGCGCCCTCGGTGCAAGGAGACGTTGTGTATGTTTGGTTTGTTTGGTTGGGTTGGTGTGGGAAACAAGTAAACACAGCGTATTGTTGGTTTGGTTTATTGGGCTTGGGGTGGGCCCAGTGCTCTCCTCTTCCTCCTTCTCCTTCTTCTCCGTTCCTCCTCTATCTATGTTCATCTTGTTCATTCTCCAAACACAATTCCTCCTCCTCCTCCTCGACCATCACCCTTCTCATTGTTGTCCTTTCCGGTTTCTCCTCTCTGCAGCAGCACAAGCACAATCATACACAGTGTTGGGCTCTTTCGGTGCAAACGCTCATTCGGTTTGTTGTTGGTTTATTCGGTCTGGGAAGCAAGGGAACACTGTGTATGGTTTGTATGTTTTTTGCTTGCGGAGACTCAGAGAGGGAACAGAGAAGGAGGAAGGGAAGGAGGAGGGGAGCACTGGAGCACCCAAAACCCCTATAACAACCCCACAGGTACACAGTGATTCCTGGTTCCCGAAGCAAAACCAACCAAACCACACACACACACACGCACACACACACACACGCACAGACAGCCTTGTTCTTTGCACCGAAGGCGCCACACGCTGTGTGTTCGTGGTTTCGTGTCGCTTCGACTCACGCTGCGTTTGGCGCCCTCGGTGCAAGGAACCGCTGTCTGTCTGTGTGTGTGTGTGTTCTTTTTGGGGGGAGGCTCAGAGAGGGAATGGAGAAGGAGGAGGAGAAGGAGGAGGGCAGCATTGGAGCCCCCCAAACCGAATAAAGCAACAAAAACAACCCATACACCGTGCTTCCTGTGTTCCCACTATATAGCAACCAACAACAGCAACAACAACACACATTTACAGCGTTTCTTTGCACCGAGGACACTCCACCCTGTGTATTCTTCGTGTTGTGTTGCTCCGACTCCTCCTCGTTGAAGCAAGGCAAAACCAATCCAACGCAGCATTTGGCGCCCTCGGTGCAAGGACGCGCTTTGCATGTTTGGTGTTGTTGGTCGTTTTGGCTTGGGAAGCAAGGAATCGCAGCGTTTTTTTGTTGTTGGGTGTTTCGTTGTTTTGGGGTCTGGGGAGGCTCAGAGAGGGAACGGACAATGAGGAGGAGAAGGCGGAGGAGGAGGAGGGGAACATTGGGGCCCCCAGAAACCCCTTTGAAGCAAGACAGCCAACCAAACACAGCGTTTCCTTGTTTCCTACGCCAAAGCAACAAGCAAACCAACGCACACAGCTGTTCCTTGCACCTTGGGTGCCAAACGCTGTGTATGTTTTGCTTTGTGCTGCTACAAAGAGGAGGAACCATAAATGAGGAGGAGGAGGAGGATGGGTGAGGAGGAGGAAGGGGAATTGTGTTTGGAGTAGGAAGGGAGGGAAACGAGAAAGTGCAGGAACGGAGAAGGAGGAGAAGAAGGAAGAGGAGGAGGAGGAGAGCTCTCGCCCCCCTCAAACCCAATACCCCAAAACCATACACAGTGTGTTCTTGCTTCCTGAACAGAACGACCCAACAAAAGCAAACAAACAGCGCTTCCTGGCACCAAAAGGCGCCAAACGCTCTGTTTGATTGGTTTCGTGTTGCTTCAAAGAAGAGGAATGGGAAAGGAGAGGGAGGAGGAGGAGGAGGAAGAGGAGGATGGGCGAGGAGGAGGAGGAGGATTAGTGTTCGGCGAAGGAGGAGGGGGAAAGGCGAAAGAGGAGGAATGAAGAAGGAGGAGAAGAGGGATGAGGAGGAGGAGGAGGAGGAGGAGGAGGAGGAGGAGGGGGAGGAGAAAACGATTAGATAATATTTTGTGGGTTGGGTTGTTTGGGGGTGCTGGCGGGGGGCGACCATGTGCATAGCGATGTACACACACACACACATATATACATATATATATATATACATAAATATATATATATAGATAATAGATATAGATATAGATATGTGTGAGAGAGAGAGAGAGAGAGAAAGAGTGTGTGTGTGCGTGTATGGTCCAATGCGCGGCCCCAGAGGTCCCGAACTCTTCCCAGGGCTTGCTTTCGTCCCGACCTCATTCTGATGGCCCCCGGGCCCGAGGACGGCCCCGGGAGGCCGACCTCGAGGACGCGCGCCCGGACCGACAGCATCAGATCGTCGGAGGTTTGGGTTCTTGGCAGCGCGATCCAGGACGAAAGCGGGAAGGTTTGCGGACACATGCGAGGCTGAACCGCCCAGCTGTTGCTCCGCCTCTCCTGGTCATTTTTCCCACCTGTCGGGGTACTTCCAGGCGCAGCCGGCCATCCTGGGTGGACGCCGGCGTGTCGCGCATCTGCTGGCAAACCCCCGGCGCCGCCCGCACTGAGGCTGAGCGCAGCCAAAAAACAAAGGTTGCTTGATGGGGACGTGGCGGAGACTTCTCGTCGAGCTGCTTCGTTTTTTAATTGGGGGGGGGGGGCGTTCGTTCCAGCCTGCTTTGGGCCCCCTGAGGGAGCTGGAAGCCCTCGCGTTTATTGTTTGTTGGCCTCCGAACGGCACCGGCGACGAGGAGCTCCCCCCGCAAATTTACGAACATCAAACGCCAGGGATCATGATGTATAGCAGACGTTTCAAATCAGACACTAAGGCCATACATTAGCGTACAGTAATCACATACAGCAGATACAGGCTCTACGGACATGCACCATGACTGTACGTCTTGATACACTGAAGCTCCTTAGTGGGGATCGCTCGAAGCAAAATCATGTTGTAGTGGTGTTTTTCGCTGTAGGCCCTGATCCTCCATCCTCGATCCCGTGGGCCCTGGTCCGGGCCAATGTGGACACGACCGATCTGATTCGATGTCGAATCTGGCCGACCCGATCCGATCTGATCTCGATTTTCCCGCGACCCGACGCGGCCGAATGCATGCAAGGCGCAGTAGCGCATCTTGCCGCAGCCGATCCGGTTCGATCCCGAATCCTCCCGGCCGATGCGGCACGACCTGGCGCGCGTTCCGATCCCATCTGGCTTCCCGATTCGATGATTCGTCGAGGGTTGCTGAAGGTGCCCCTGGGCCGATGTGCCCCTCCGTGTCGGAGCTCCGGGGGCCCTCTTGGGCCTCGTGAGGCTCCTCTGGGGGCCGTGGGGGCCTTCTTGGAGATCCTCGGGGCACCTTGGGCCAGGGGCGCTTCCGGCCACGCCCGACCTCCTCCTGCCGTCTTCGAGCCCCGAGCCCGTGGGCCCCCGCCAGGCAGAACGTCATCCGCGTGCAGAAGCTCGGCGGCGCGTCGCAGACGGCGGCCCCGAAGCCGCAGCCGGTGGCGGCCACGGCCGTGGGGCTCAGCTCTCGCCGCCCGGGGGCGGCTCGGAGGACCTGGCCGCTTCGGAGGAGGGAGGGGTACCCATACCGCCACCCTTCCGTCGTGTTCCTCTCCTTCGGCCTCCTGGGAGGCCCTCGTAGACCATCGCCGCCACCGCCAGATTCGCCTCGAGGTCCCATGGTCAGGAGGCATCCCGGGAGAGGTCCGGGGAGCAGCGGTGTCGGTACTTTTTGGTTTCCCCGTCGTCGGCATTCGCGACGAGGCAGCTGACGATCTCGAGCCCGTGATGTGTGGTGGCTCGGTTTGGAGGCTCGCTCCGTGAGCTTTCGGCGGTCTCGTCCGCTTGTCAGACTGGCCTGTGCAAAAGCAGCTGCGGTATTTACGGCCCTCCATCTTGCAAGCACGCGTGCGCGCTGGAGCGAAGGGAAAATGGGGAAGTGGAAGTACGGCCTGACTGCGCCGCTCCGCTACGCGGAGAGAAGCTGGGGCTGAGCAGCAACATGCTCGATCCCAGATCCTCGAACTTCGTTCGATCGTCCAGCCTCGATCCTTAAACCTCGATCCGCGGTCCTTGGACCTCGATCCTCGGACCTCGATCCTCGAATCTTGATCCTCGGGCCTCGGAGGAAGCCACGGTTGTTCTGAGGTAGGGGCCCTCCCTCGCCTTCGGCGGAAACAGGTGCACTGCGGTGGCAGTCGAGCAAGCAAGCGAAAGCCGAGCACCCGGACGGACGCGTGGGCAGTCATGGGTGCACATCCGGCAGCCGAACGAAGAGGCAGGAAAGTCGTGGGCAGTTTCTGGAAGCCTGGCACAGGTAGAGGCCACAGCCCAGGAGAGGAGAGACGACACTCCGAACCGAGGGAGGGGGGGGATCCGAGTAGACTTGAATCAAGCACTATTGCGATCCAAGTAGAGCTGTATCCAGTCCGTAGTAGGATTCAATGAGATTGGGAGATTCGATCAAAGCTTCATCGCGCCTTAGTAGCAGGATTCGACCAGAGCTGCATCGAGCCTGTGTAGGATCCCATTCGGGCTGGATCCTGCCCTGTTTGGATTCTACTAGAGCTGGAGCTAGCCTGTTTCAGGATCCCATTGGGGCTGGATCCAGCTCTACTAACTAGGATTCTGTTTGAGCTAGACATATATTTTGTAGGATTCTAGTACACTTGGATTTAGTCCTAGTAGGATCCTATTTGAGCTGGATCGAGCCCTATTAGAGGAATCCCAGTAGAGCTGGATCCAGCCCTATTGCGATTCTATTTGGGTTGGCTTTAGCTTTTGTAGGATCATAGTGGAGCTTGATCGAGCCGCGTAGAATTTTATTAGAGCTGGATCCAGCCCCAGTGCAAGGATTCGAATTAGGCCTTCGAGTTAGGCAGGTTCGAGCCTCCCCCCCTCCCCCCCCTCCCCGGTTCGAACCATCCCCCCCCCGTTCCTAGGGAGGGGGGGTGGGGTCTCCCCCCCCCCCGGTTCCCGGGGAAGGGGGGGGGATTCTTGTTTCCCTCCCCCCCCGGTTTCAAGGAGGTGGGGACAGCTAGCACCCATACCTATGCGACCCCTAGATATCTCGGGGTGGAATTCTGGTGGGGGTCCCCGCTTGTACGGGAGCCCCCCTCGGGGTCCGACAACTCGCACCCACAGCTGTGGTGCCTTCATCGCCTTGCCCTTTTCCATTCCTCATCCTTCTAGGTTTGAGTGTGTGTTATGTGTGTTGTGTGTTGTGTGTTGTGTGTTGTGTGTTGTGTGTTGTGTGTTGTGTGTTGTGTGTTGTGTGTTGTGTGTTGTGCGTGCGTGCGTGCGTGCGTGCGTGCGTGCGTGCGTGCGTGCGTGCGCGCGTGTGCGGTGTGTGTGTGTGTGTGTGTGTGTGTGTTGTGTGTGTGTGTGTGTGTGTTGTGTGTGTGTGTGTGTGTGTGTGTGTGTGTGTGTGTGTGTGTGTGTGTGTGTGTGTGTGTGTGTGTGGGGGGGGGGGGCGGGCGGGCGGGCGGGCGGGCGTGCGCGCGTGTGTGTGTGTGTGTGTGGTTCTTTCCGCACAGGGAAAGGGATACGGCCGAGGCTGGTGAGATACATCGATCTCCGACAGCGGCTGAAGTCGAGCTAGGAGAGGGGCGGCCCTTCCCTCAGGCCCTGGCGTCGCCAAACGATCGAGGCGGCTGGCTGTCTGTCACGCCCTCGGGGCCGTCAGAGAACGACTCGAGACGGAGAACCCGTATTCAGGATGGGGCCGAGAGGTCTGGGTTCACAGGTGGCAATGTCGCGACATCGGATGTCTGGCCACGATGTCCCCTCTTTGTCAAGCGGCAGCTCGAGAGGGTACGGGGCCGACCGGCATGAGGGGAGTGTGGCGCTGATGTGGTGAAGCCGGCCGATTGAAGATGGGCATCCCTGAGGCAATGTCCAACTCCATGACGCAGAAGATCGTCTCCAACCCGGTGCTGGCCATGCAGGCTGTGGACGGCGGAGCAGGGGAGGGGCGGAGGGGGGTGGGAGAGTGAACGGTGAGGCGGAGAGAGAGAGAGAGAGAGAGAGAGGACCAGGATTAGGATAAGGAAGGTGACGAGGAGGACCGCGAAACCCTAAAACCCTTCCACAATTACTCAATATGAATATACTCTCCCTCTTCCCCTGATGGCGTCCGGGTGATGGCCGCGCACCCTCCGCGTATTGTTTTTTACACACAGGATGCCCGGGAAATCCCGGGAAACGACTCTCGCTGAGGCGCCGGCGTCATTTTTTCCCAAAATGCTGCTCTCGTTGAGGCGCCGGCCTCATTTCTGCTCCCGAATCGTTCCGAATCGTGCTCCCGCTGCAGCGTGGGCCTCATTTTCGGATCGGTGTTTGGCCTCCGTCGTTCAGGATGGCGTTCTCGCCCCAGCGCGGGCCTCTTTCTCGCGCGCCCATCCGCCCGCCACCACCGCGCCGCACCACCACCACCACCACCACCACCACCACCACCACCACCACCACCACCACCAACACCACCAACCACCACCAGCACCAGCACCAGTACCAACACCACCACCACCAGCACCACCACCACCACCACCAGCACCACCACCACCACCATCACCACCACCACCACCACCACCACCACCACCACCACCACCACCACCACCACCACCACCACGACAACCACGCACACACGCACGCACGCACGCACGTGCACCACCACCCACTACGCACGCGCGCGCGGAGCCACAGGTCCGCTACGACACGCGTCCGCGGATAGAGAAAATCAGCGCCATGGTAAGGGATGGGAGGTAGGGGTAGGACGTCAGATATGACGCGAGCGCACCTAGCTTGTCCTCCCCCCTACCCCCCTCCCCCTCGAGGGGCGCCGCAGCCCCAGAAGTGGACCTGGCGAGCGCGCGAGCCGCCCTGCTGGAGCAGGGCTGGCGTCCGTGCAGCCTGGTCTGATTAGAGCGTGTGTCTCTATTGCTTGGGGCATGATGGGCATTATAGCCTCTGGCCCCATCCCCCTATAACGTAACGCCCCTCCCCCGCCAGTGCGCTCCGGGCACTGCCGCCGTGTGCACGGCGGGGGGGAGGCGTTACATTATACCTTTCCCCTGGCCCCTCCCCCACTATAATGCCCATCATCGCCGAAAATGAAGAAACGCGCTCTTACCGGGCTGACCCTGCAAGAGCAGTGGTGCGCCTTTGTGTCTTGCCCGGTCGCGTGTCGTGTCCCCTCATGTCTAGAGCATGGGCTGCTCTCCGAGGAGGGCACAGAGGCACAATCATATGAATCATACCCTTTTGAAGGTCCGCGCAGACTTCTTGGGTCTGTCAGGGGGGGTCCAGCGCCGACCCACTACATCCGCGCGGTCCTTCGAAAGATTTCGAAAGTTTATGCCCGTGGCGGCTTTCTTTCTTTCTTTGTCCAGGGAGAGGTATTTCTGTGTCCCCAGTGTCAGCTCCTGACTGTCGGAGGCCCAGGACCTCCCCCTCTCGCAGTGTTGTCCATCCGCTCGATGCGATTCGATACCGATGCCGGCCAGCTCGGTCCGATTCGATCCCGACATGTCGACGAGCCGCTGCGGCCCGACGCTCGCGTGGCGCGGTTGTGCATCCTGGCGCTGCCGAGCCGATCCCGCCCCCGTGCCGAGGCAGCCCGACCCGACGAGCGCTCCGATCCGATCAAACTTCCCGATCCGATGCCGACCGGTTCTGGTCCTCGGCGCCGCGCTCCGTGACGACGGAGAGCTGGTGCACAGCAGCACAGGAGCACCCAACGGCACTGGCTGCCGACGGTGGCTGCAGCTCGCGCTGCGACGGTTGCGTGTGGCGCAGGTTGGGAGTCGCACGCGCCAAGGCTGCTGTGCGAACTTCTGCGAGCCAGGTGAGCGCCGACACCACGGTGGAAGGGCCGGGGCCCTCCCGCGCCGACCCTCGAGGGCCCCGCTCCCGCGGATCTGCGCGATTCGCTTCGCTCCCTCGCTCTCCTTCCCCCGAAGAGCGCCCCGAGCGCCGCCCGCCGCGAGTCCGGCGGGCTCGCGCCGGGCGCGTGGCGATGGTGCCTCGATCCCAACGCCGCCCCGCAGAGGCCCCTCGCCGCCGCCCCGCCCCCCGCGGGCCCAGGCCTCCGCGCGCGCCCCCGCGGGCCTCCGCCCTCCGCAGGCCGCCGCCCGCCCGCCTCCGCAGGCCGCGCTCGCCACCGCGCGCAGCGGCGGCGGCCGCTGCGCCGGCGGCGGGCAGCCCGCGGCCTCGCGGGCGCGGCGCTCCGCGGCCGCTGCGCCGCCTCGGGCGCCCTGCGGGGCCGTCGGCCGTCGGGCGGCGGCGGCGACCCCTGCGGGGGGCCGCAGCTGCGCGGCGGAGGTCCTCAGGCCCTCCGGCGAAGAGCCGAGGTCCTCGGCGCCAGGCAGGACACCTCGTGTAGCCACCACCGTCGGGCGCGCGGGCCGCCTCGCGCGGCTGTGGGGCGCGCGGCGGCAGGCAGAGAGCCAGTGGCAGCCATTGTGCTTCAGCGACCGGTGGCCATAACCGTCGGGAGCGCGGGACGCCTCGCGCGTCCGCGGAGCGCGCGGGGCCAGGCAGGGAAGCCGCGGCAGCCATTGTGTTCGAGCGACCGCTGGCAACCACTGTCGGGGCGCGCCGCCTCGCGCGTCCGCTGGGCGCGCGGGGGCCCTTCCCCACCCCCGGCGACGCCGAGCCAGAAGGGCCCCGAGCCAGAGCCGCGGCAGGCAGCCCCCGCCGGCTCGGCCGAGGCCTCGCTGGGCGAGGGTGTGCCGCGTGCCGGGCGCCTTGTCGGAAAAGCGGCCGTGTCGGGCGGCGCAGCTCCGTCTGCGGCTCCCGGAGGGCGTCATGGTTCGCGGTGAACAGCGGCATCGCTGCGACGGGCGCAGAGGCCAACAGCGAGCGAGGAGCAGAGTGGACGGCAGCGGGAGAGCGGCGAGGAGCAGTTGAGCCAAGGGCCGCACGGCGCGGAGCGGCACTCTGGGCAACCACGGCGGGAGGTCCTGCCCTGCGGCGCGGGCGCACGCGACAGTACACCAGCAGCCGCGGCGCGGCGTCCGCGCTCGGCGTGGAGGGCGCGGCCGAGCTCGCCGGCCGCGGGCTCTTGCTCGGCCCATCCGTACGGCAGGTTCGTGTCGTGTTGACGCGGCGGCGACCTCGCCGCGGGCGTTCAGGGTTAGCTCGCCGCCGCGGGCTCTTGGCAGCAACGACCCCGCCGGGGGCGTTCGCCAGCGGCCAAGAATCGGCTGGTATGCAGCGATTTGGCGATCGAGCAGCCGCCGATGGTTCAAGGTTGACCTGGCGACCGAGAAGCCGTCCATCGTTCCGGGTTGAACGTGTCAGAAACCGCCGCCAGGGTTGTCACGGCACGAACCTGCAGCACGAAGTTCAGGAGGGGAAAAAACACACAGACAAATCGAATCGTCGACTCCCAGGAACAGATGGGAACATAGACAAACTATGGGAAATGGGGGGAAGACGCGAACTCAGAAAATATAGGAAGATATGGGTGATCTTGGGAATTGTGTGTGTGTGTTTATTTGTGTGTGCCCCTGGGCCCCTTTGGATGCTCCAGGCCACGTTGGGGCACCGTGCCAGCCCGTCGCTCATCAGCTTTCGGCCAGCCGGCTGGGGCAGAGGCTCACCGAGCGCTTCTGCGTTCCGGGTGGCAGCCGAGGTGCCCCGGGTGGGGACGTCCGCGTCCCTGCAGGCAGCCGCCCTGCGGGAGCACTGCGTGTTCGGGCCACCCTTGCAGCCCGAGCCCCGAGCCCCGAGCCCGAGCACGAAGCCCGAAGCCCGAGCCCGAGCCCGAGAGCGAGAGGGAGAGGGCGGGAGCCTGAAGTGACTGGGCAGAGGCCCTCGAAGGAAGGGCCAGAGGGCCCAGGTGAGCCCTGCGGCGCGCCTCGCCCCCCCCATCCATTCCCCCGGGTCACCCGCGGGCGTGAGGATCATCGCGCTTCGCGCGTCGCGGTCTGGGCCAAAGCGCTTGCCCCTCTCCAGTGGGGGGCGGCGCGATGGCGCGAAGATAATCGCGCAACCAAGGACCTACTTGAGGATCGAGGACACGGGTTTTGGGGCGCTTTCGACCCTTGCCATGCGTCCAGGGGGTCCCCCAGAGGCTTTCGCCCTTCCCAGGCCTCCGACGCCGTGTAATTCGTCCCGGCCTACCGCCGTAGATCTACGGCGGGAGAGGCGAGTTGAGGTTCTGCAACGTTTTGGGCCTCCCGGGCCAGCGGGACCTGCAAACAGGTCGGAAGGCTGGTGCTGGAGGAAGGCCCAGCACCCGTCTTCGTCAGGATTCCGCCCCCCCGGTGGCAAGGCAAGCAGGAGTCCGAGCATGTGTGTGTGCACGGACTTCGCGCCGCGTCTCGCCTGGGTCCCTGGCAGGGCGAGGGCAGCGCTTCACTCCCTGATGGCGTTTCGCCAGAGGGTCCGAGGCGACAAAAACCACGAAGACTCCCACGGGGGGGACGTGGAGCCCGAGAATGGATGTTAGGCCAAGGTCGCCTGGTCCGACAGCCGTTTCGCTTCTCGCTTTCTCGCCATGGCTCCGGAGCTCTGCCCTCGCCTCCGTGCCGGCTGCCGGCTGCATGTCTGGTCCTGGCGGCCACGATCTTCTTGGCACTCGGTTCCGTTTGTTCCATTGAGGTGCACATTGCCGTGCCCTTACAGCGCCGTTTTTCATACATGCTCCGCGTGCGGATCATGGATCAAAGATGCAGGGATTTAGTATTAAACACAACGATGAGTTCATGCATCGATTTATCGGATTAGTCATGTATTAAAAAAACCCTATGTGTTTAGACATCCCATGTATTAAACATTGCCCTGTAGTTTCGTGTGTTGTAGCTGAGTTTGTACTTCTCGACCCGCCTGCTCGGGTCATGTATTGCGCTGTCGAGGCGTCAGGCGTCTGCGTTCTGGGCTGGGTCGGCCAGGCAGCCGCGTGCGGCACGGCCGCCCGGGGCGGGCGCTTCCTGGCCCCCCGGGGACCGCGCAATGCCCACGGAGTTGCCGCCTGCGTCTTGGTCTCTTGCCCCTGTCGCCGTCGTCGTCGCCCCCTCTGTGTGATGTGAGGCCTCGATCTAGGATTAAGTCGGGCGTGTCCCCCGACAGGGGAATATTCGACGAAAAAATTAGAATACCCCAAAAATACACGAAAAAGGTAAAAAAATAATAATATAGATTCAAAAAAGAGTCCCCAGACTATTTTTTGTGATTATGTTTTATCTTATGTTTGGGGTATTCTTTATTTCTTGTCGAAAATCCCCCTGAAGGGGGACACGCCCGACTTAAATCTAGAAGCACTCGTGGTTCTGCGATTACTTGCGATTCCTACGTGTCCGATCGGCGCTAGGGTAGGGTATGGGACGCCCCTTCTGGGGTTCCCTTGGCTACAGGCATCCTTCAGATCCTGAGCCCCGGCAGCGTTTGCAACACCCTGACCCGTAGGGGTAAGGCTCGCATGCCCCTTCCCTCGTGGTGACCACCCCAGGTCAAGCAGGGCAGAGAGATCGGCTCCCGGCCGAGCACCATCGTGCAGCTCCTCAACGCCGTGTACCAGGCGGCCGCCGCCCCCCCCCCCCGCCCCCCGCCGTGAGCAGGCTCTGCCGTGTGCTGCTCCCAGTTGGGCCAAGGGGGCAGGCTCGATGACTGGAGGAGGGCCAGTCGAGACGATGGCGGCCCTCCCTGCGTGCTTCCTCCTTTCCTGGGCTTCCTTGGGGATTCTCGTCGCCGCGGCTGGACACCGCTGGACAATTCAGGAGCGCCCCGCGAGGGGTTCGTGGATTGATCTTGAGCGGATTTGGGCCGTGTGGGAAAGCCGCCGTTGTCTCAAATGGAGCTCCGAGGGGAGGTCTCCTCCTTTTCCTCAGCGGACGAGCAGCAGTATAACACGAACTGCTCCGCCAGGGCGGCTGGAGTGGTTACACCCCGGCCGTACCACCGTAGAGTTTCCAGCCACCTTGCACCCCGGAGTGCTTTCCAGCCGCCCGGGGACGCGTGCCCCCGACGGAAGACCAGTTGCTGCTATGCCGTTGTTCGTCCGCTGATCTCCTCCTCCGCCGCCCCCTCCTCATCATCGTTCCCTTTTCGCCGCGGGCGCAAGCGCTGGCCGAAGGCCGCCTTCGCCGTATCTGCCGGCGGGGTGCGCGGGCTCGGGCCCTCGCGCGGCAGTGAGGCCATGAGGCTTCTCCGAGCCGGCGAGCTCATCGAGCTCATCGGGATAAGGACGGATAACCAGAGCCCCGAATCATCAGGGGTAACTCGGGTCAGGGATAACACGGGTTCGTTTTTCGGGAATCCAAACCCGAGTTAGCCCGGACCCGAGTTACCCCGGATAACTCGGGCGTCCAGGGCCCCGAATCATCAGGGGTAACTCGGGTCAGGGATAACTCGGGTTCCTTTTTCGGGAATCCAAACCCGACTTACCCCGGACCCGAGTTACCCCGGATAACTCGGGCGCCCAAGATAACCTTGCACCCGTGCGTCTTTGGTCCATCCTTGACCGCTCTCGAGGGCCTGCCGCGCTCGACCAGAAGCTTCAACACGGGCGTCCAAGGGGCTTGTATCCTTATCGCTCATCCGTACTATCATCAGGAGGAAAAGAAACACACAGACACAATTAATCCTCGATTTCCCAGAAAATATGGGAAAATATGGGAAGTGGGGGGGAAGACAGAAACCCAGAAAATATGGGAAAATATGGTGAATTATTTTATTTGTGTGTATTTATTTGTGTGTCCTGGGGCCCCGTCATATCAGTTTTGACCGTAGACCTTCCATGTGGGATCCCGTGTCATTCTCGTGCCTCGTCTTAAGTCGGGCATGTCCCTCTACAGGAGGAATATCAAAGCATCGTCATCACATACAAATGTGGAGGCTTGTTCGATGACGTGTTGAAAAAATGTTTGAGCATGGTTTGTTTATTCCCAGTTCGAGTTTTTCGTATAAGATCCGCATGTAGGATATGCCCGACCTGAGCCTCGTCCTCTCCGCTGGGGCGCGCACTCGCCTGCCTTGCCGGCGACGGTGTGCCTCGCCGCGGGGCCCGCCGCCGCACCCGCGCCCGCGGCCGCACCGCGGCCTGTTGGCGCTCTCGGGGCCCTCCCGCCGTCCTCGTCGCGTCCCCCTGCTCAAGCAGTGGCGAAGCGTCCTGGCTCGCCTGTAGGCCCACCACAGAATGTTCTGAGAACCTTGCGTGGTCTGCACGAGATGTTCTTAGAACGTTCCCGGCTGGGACCGTCTTGTTTTAACACACTTCGGGCTTATGTTCGAAGGACATTGCTTTGTCTTTCGAACATCTCAGGATATGGGCGAAGAGAACTATGCACATGCACCGATCCTGGCAAGGCCCATCTTTGACCCAGGATCGGTGCATATGCCTTCCTGGCCAAGGTAGGAGGGCGTATGCACCGATCCTGGGCTCAGGATGGGCCTGGCCAGAATCGGTGCATGTGCATAGTTTTTTTTCCTCTAAGGATTCCAAGAACTTTCGTGGCAGGCCTATAGGAATGCTGGGACGGCCGGTCCCTGCTCTCAACCCTCCGGCGTGTCGGCCTCCGGAGGGGAGGCATGGGGCAGCCTTCCGGGAGCGCCGCGGGGCTCCTCCGAAGCCCTCCCGCCGAGAGGCCTCCCGGGAGGCCTCTCCCGAGCCTCCTCCCAGGACGCGTCGTGCGGCACCTCAGAGAGCGGGAGGGCCTCCGAGACGGCGGGCCCGTGCGGTAGGTTCGCGTCGTGTCGACCAGCGGCGACCCCAGCGTGGGCGTTCAAGGTTGAACGCCGCCGGCGGCCCAGAATCGGTCGATGCTGAACGATACGGCGTTTCGGACACAGCCGATCATTGAAGGTTGAACGATCCAGCGCGGTGTCGGGGACCAACGCCGGGGTCGACACGGCACGGACCTGCAGTACTGCCTTCCCCCAGGCGCGCCGCCGATGGTTATCGAAAGGGGTGCCGATCGGCCAGTGCAGTTGGAGCTGTGTGCCTCAGGGGGGCCTGCGTGGGGGAGGGTCGGTTTCGAAAGAGCCCTCTCCGAGTGTAGCCCTTCTCTCGGGCAGGCCGTTGGAAGGAGGGAGGAGGGTTGGCAAGGGCTGCCTGAGGCTCTTTGCTCCCCCCTGCTCCCCCCTGTTGCGGGCCCCGACGAGGAAACAACTTTCCCCACGGTCGGTGAGGGAAAGCTTTGAAGGAACATGACGACGACTGCCTGGGGTGGGGATCAGCGGCGAGGACCGAGGAGGAGGAGGAGGAGGTCGAGGAGGAGGAGAGGAAGGAGGAGGAGGCCGAGGAGGGCGACCACCAGGAGCGAGTGTTTTCTTTGCGTGTGTGTTTGTGTGTTTGTGCGTGCGTGCGTGCGTGCGTGCGTGCGTGCGTGTGCGTGCGTGCGTGCGTGCGTGCGCGCGTGTGTGTGTGTGTGTGTGTGCGTGTGTGTGTGTGTGTGTGCGTGTGTGTGTGTGTATGTGCATATGTGTGTGTGTGTGTGTTCGCCGGACCTGTTCCTGCGCCACGCCGCCGCCGCGCGTGGCCGCGACTCTAACAGTGTGTATGTGTGTGTGTGCGTGGCGCACACGGAGTCTGCGGAGATTCCGTGGGCACGTTGCGCGCGCGCACCGGATCAGACCGTTCTCCGCCTCGACGTTGCACGCAAGGCTGCGATCTCCAAAAGTAAGTGTGTGTGTGTGTGTGTGTGTGCGTCGGTGTGTGTGTGTGTGTCTATGTGTGCGTTTGTTTGTTTGTTTGTTTGGTTGGTTGGTTGGTTGGTTGGTTGGTTGGTTGGTTGGTTGGTTGTTTGTTTGTGTGTTTGTTTGTTTGTTTGTTTGTGTGTGTCGAGTGTCTGCCTCCATCCAGACCGCCCATCTCAGACGCCAGGGGGCAATTTGCCTAAGCATGTCCTGATGTTGCGCTTCGCGACGGTGTCGTCACCTCGCCGCTGGTAAAAGTATGTGGGCCCCCTTCCTCGTCCATTCTTGTGCTTTACGATGACCATGCTCTCCCGAGGGTCTTCTTGTAGCCGTCCTGGGGCCAGGAACAATCGGAAGGAGGCATGGTCAGAGGCGACCAGAGTTAGAACTCGAGCAACGCTCAGAGTTGCAAGCCGCTGCCCGTCCATCGTCGCCATGGCTGGGGTCCCCTTGCAATCCTGGTCAGAACTCTCGGCATCGTTACGTCTCCCCTTGCAATCCTGGTCAGCTCCCCGCATGCATCTGAGGGTCCTAGCAGAGCAGCACAGATGGGATGATGGACTCCCCGAGTTGTTGACTACACTGTATGCTCGATGGGTCTTCCCTTTGAGCTGTAGCATGAAATCCCCCGTGGCCCCATCTTGATCTTCTGGCTTCTGCTCCTACCGCAGACCGACTGCCCGTTTTTGTTTCGCAGCGTGGGCTCCCCGAGATCTAGCCCGGCTCCCCGGGACCAGCTTCTCATCTTGAGTGATTGTTTGTCGGTCCAAGGTTCTGGCAAGGGCCCCCAGATGCCGAAAACAGCCATAAACCATATGTCGTGATTTTTGTCTCGCTGCGGGCAGGTATGGGACTTCTGGTTCATTATTCCGCCTTCTGCGCAGGAAGACCTGATGGACGATCAGGACTACGAGGACATCACCGCAGAGGTGCATTCAGAGGCCTCCAAGCACGGCACGGTGACGCGGGTAGTGATACCGAAGCCAGCCAAGGCCTGGCGCGACTCGGTGCTTGCGGCTGTTCCCGTTGCCGCCGCGCAACACCCGCTTCTCGCCGTCACTTGCGCGGCCGCCGCCGCTGAAACGGGGAACGTCTGCGAGTGTGAGGAGGAGGAGCAGCATGAGGAGGACGAGGACCAAAGGGTTGACGAGAAGGAGGAGGAAGAAGAAGAAGAAGAGGAGGTGGTGAATGAGGAATGACGAGGAGGAGGAGGAGGAGGAGGAGGAGGAGGAGGAGGAGGAGGAGGAGGAGGACGAAGGGACGAAGGGACAATGGGGGGAGGGACGAGGGAAAGGATAAGGAGCAGCAGCAGCAGGAGGAAGGACTGGCAGCAGTCCTCGGACGCCCATGGAGGTCTCCAGAGATCTCCGGAGGTCTCTGGAGATGGACTTCCCGCCCCCCTCCCCCCTACGGGATGATGATGGTGAGGAGGAGGAGGAGGAGGAGGAGGAGGAGGAAGAGCAGGAAGAGGAGGAGGAGGAGGAGGAGGAGGAGGAGGAAGAGGAGGAGGAGGAGGAGGAGCAGCAGGATAATGAGGATGATGAGGAGCTGACTGCAGACCGGCCTCAGCAGGAGGCTGGCCCCGGGTCCGTTGCCGTGGACTGGCTGCACAAGAGGAAGACGAGAAGGTCGATGATGGGGAGGAGGAGGAGCAGGACAAGGTGGAGGAGGCGTGTGTTTGTATGATGTTCCCAGTTCTGCGGTAATTGCAGTACTGGGGATTTCCATCTCCGACAGGACGGTTCTTTCGTGGACGGCGTGGGCAAGATATTCGTCTCTTTTGCGGACCGCATATGTTCACTAGCCTCTAGTGTTCCTCCTCGCTGCCTTTTCTCATGGTGCTGATTTTGCAGATGCATGTTCGCCGTTGTCCATCTCCGTTGCAAGTGGCCAGTGCGTACGTGTTCAATGTGGCATGCTGTTTGTACACCTGTTTGTATACACCGAGCGTTAACTTAGTCAGTTCATTAAGCCGGCTTTGCAGCCGCTACCGCAAAGCAGTATGACAATGCCCGTTCAAATGGATCCTTCTTCTCCCACTCAGGATTACGGCCATTATTGCATAGTGGTATCCTCCTTTCTTGACAAGTCTGATGATGGATGCTATCCAGCTGCCTGCGGTAAGCCCCGCCACCGTGCCAGCGCAGCAGTCAAGCAGTAAAAATGTTGAGTTCAAGGCGCGCTCCAGTTCAGCGCACTGTCTGGGCTTGTGCGGGTCTTGAGCGCCCCCTGTTATACAGCCTCGGTCTTCTTTTCTCTCTTCCTCGCACCCCAAGGCCGGTCGAAAGGGCGGGCCGGGCGGTTCGCCTGAGATTTCGCAAATGATCCTCAAGCGAAAAATGTGCAACAGTTTCACTGGTGGATGGCGGCTCCTTTCCAAAATGTGACTCTCGCTTGAACGCTGCGCACATACGTGCCAAACAGTTGCAAAAGTTTCACGAATGGAGGGCAGGTCGTTTTGACAATGTGACTATCTCATGGGTGACACGCAAATAGAAACATGCAAAGGTTTCACATGTAGCCCTCGCCTTAGCAACTCGCACACGCGTTGCAAACAGTTGCAAGACCTTCATGGATGGAGGGCGGTTCCGTGTCAAGATGTGGCCCTCGCCGTAGCGCCGCGCGCATTTGTCGTCAACATTCGCACGAGCTTCACGGATGGAGGGCACCTCCTTTTCAGCATGACGTTCTCGCTTTGGCGTTGCGCACATTCGTTCCAAGAATTTACCACAGATTCACGTATTATCACGGTTAACGTTCCAGGAATGGTGTTCTGGCGCGATTCAGGATCGTCAAGACGCAATAGTTGCGTTGATTCGTGTTGTTGAAGTCCCAGGATGCTCTGACGCGACTCCGCGCCGTCAAGACGCAACGGTAACGGTGATTCACGGCACTGAAGTCCCATGAATATGTTCTGGCACAGTTCTGAAGATGTTCAAACGGTTGTTTTCCAACAAGGCACTTCCTTCAGTGAAAAAGAATCCTCGCATGGGGCCTATGAAGAGGGAACTTGGAGGGATGGTTTATTGCATTACCGTTGATGGGCGTTGGGTTTAACCTGGTCCTCCTCCTCCTCCTCCTCCTCCTCCTCCTTCTCCTCCTCCTCCTTCTCTTCTCCTCCTCCTCCATCCCCCCATTCTGGAGGCTTGCCGGAAGCTCCGTAGGGACCTCTCTGGGGGTCTCGTGTAGCCTATCTGTGGCTCGCGGGGGCTCCCTGGAAGCTTCTTGGGGGCCTCCCGGAGGCCTCCAGCAGCCCTGCAGGGAGCCTCTCGGAGCCCCGCGCCAGCCTGGCGGGGGGGGGGGGGGGATAGTTGGCGCGATGGGCAAGCCACGGGCCTCGCGGCCAGCAGCCAGCTTGTTCGGCCGAGGCCTCTCTTGAGGAGGCTGGGCCGAGTCGTCCTCGTGGACGTCTTGGGGTGCGCTCTGGGGGGCCGTCTCTGGGAGCCCTCCTCCCGGGCATGCTCGCGCCGCGAAAAAGCAAACCGCGGCGGGAGTTTTCTCTTGGCCGCTCTGGGCCTTCCTGGGGGGCCCTACGCCGGGCACCGGGGCCGTCGGACAGCGAATCTCGGGAGGAAGCACGTGCCACTGGGGAAGGCTCGGGACGTCGGGGACCTCGCGGCGAGAGCAAGTCTGATCTGCTCACTGCCTCCTCCTCCTCCTCCTCCTCCTCCTCCTCCTCCTCCTCCTCCTCCTCCTCCCCCTCCTCCTCCTCCTCCTGATTATCAGGACGTGGGATGTCCTGATCGTCAGGGCGTCGGGTGATCTGGGCCGCGGGCTGCCGCCCAAAGGGCGTTTTGCTCGGCGGCCGTCGCGCCGCGGGCTCTCTGAGGCCCACCACGCTTGAAGCGGCGCGGCAGGCCAGGCGCGCCTCCAGCTGGACGCCCGGAACCCAGGCGCTCCCAGGGTTCCCAAGCGTTCCCAAGCGCTCCCAAGCGGTGCCAGGCGCTCCCAGGCGCTCCCAAGCGCGCCCAAGCGCTCCCAGGCGCTCCCAGGCGCTCCCAGGCGCTCCCAGGCGCTCCCAGGCGCTCCCAGGCGCTCCCCGGTACGGAGAGAAGGGGTACTCCAGATTTCGCAAGAAAAGGGAGGGGGTCGGGACCCTCCAAGACAAGCCCGTTTCAGACCTCCCCCGTGGGAGAACCCTCCTAAGCATCGTCCCCAGACCCCCCCCCAGGCCCTCCAAGAGTTAGCCCGGAAGAGACCCCCCCCGAAATGAGACCCCCCTCCCTTTGTTACGAAATCTGGAGTACACTGCCCGACAGCAGTTCCTTTCCCCATTCGAGGCAGAGGGCCGCCCGCCCAGCAGCGGCCGCTCTTGGTCTGGGACAACATTTGTTGTTAGGCACTGTGCCCACTCTTTCCGTACCCATCCCGGGCGTCCAAATTCCAGCTCCCAGGCGTCCACGTGCCGAGCCTTGGCAAGCCTCCCGCCCCGCGGGTGGCGGAGCGGCAGGCCTGTGCGCCTGCAGGGCCCAGCGTGTCGCCTGGGCCGCCGCCGCGGCACGCGGAGCAAGCAATTATTCCTGACCGCGGAGGGTTCCCGGGGCTGTCTCGGGGCCGTCTTGGGGCGCCCCTGGGGCCGTTTTTGTTGGCCGTCTTGGGTGCCCCTATTGGGGCTCTCTAGAGCTTGTCCTCGGCGAGCTGGAGCAGAGACGCCTCGGACGTCAAACGCTTTGGCCTCCTTGAGTATCTGTATCAGTTGTTCGCTTCTGGTGGCCGCGCTGGAGTATTCTTCGGGCGTCTCCTGGACGCTTCCTGAGGCATCCTGATGAGATGTTCTTGCCTTTTGTAGCTCGTTGTGGTCTTTTGGCGGTCATGGGATGTCTGGTAGCCGTTTTGTTGCGGTCTTGGGTTCTCCTGGGGCAGCTCGGAGGCCGCAAAGGACGTATAGAGAAGAATCAGGGGGGCTCGATTTTCGGTGCACGTTTTGTCCAGGTGGGGGGGGGGGTGGAGGGGGGGTCGGGGTCGGCCTTAGATGCGTTCGGCCAGGATTTGTAAGCAACGGCATCTGATATGCATATCCTTTTGAGCACGTCGTTTCGACTGCACGTGTCACGTGCGGGTGTGGAGCGCCAGAGACGGAGCATGAGGATTCAAGCATGCGGTGCGCACGCGTGTGCCACTTGAGAGCGCGGATGGAGTTAACGCGATTGATATATGCAGCCCCAAAGCGTTCTCGTCTTCTGCAATCGCGAGCACCGTCCCGGATATCCGCATTCAGAGTGGCAGCAAGGATTCTGAACTAATTACGCATCGGGCCCCCGCCGCGATCCCGCATTTCGCTTTTCGCCCCAATGGCTTCGACCCTGGATAGCGTGCCCCGGCCCTTACTGAATAGTCTTGCCCCGATGCCTTCCATAAAATGTGCGTTTACAAGAAGGCATCGATTGTAGGGGTTATTGTTGTCAGGGTGTCTTGTTTTGTCCTCCTACGCGAGGGTATCTCACAGCTCAGGGATCGCCCGTGACTCTCCCTGGCCCCAGCCCTGCCAAAGGACCTCACGGCGGCGAGGAAGTTCCAGGTCGACGCGAACGGTCGGAAGTTCGAGAATCGCGTCGTCTGCGCTGCTTTCTACCCAGTGGAGCGGTTCAACGAGGGAAGGCCTGCTCCTCAGCGGGCCAGTGCCCTGACCTGCAGGCGTCGCGAACAAAAACGCGACAGGCGGCTTCGCAACATATGGCGGTCGGGGCGCTTTCTCTCGAGCCCCAAGCCCAGAAGAGCGCCCCGCGGCGTCAAAGGCGTTCGCACTGACGGCGCCGAGAGCCCGAGGGGCCGACGCCTTGACGAACCTCAGGACGGCCAGGTCCGAGCATGGTGCAGCGACTGCTCCAGCGCCCTCTTGCCTCTTGGCGGGGGCCCTTTCGGCTCCTCCCGGGGCCAGGCTCTGATGGGCAAATCATCCACCACCGCTACCATATGTAGGACGGGGGAGGAGAAGGGAGGATGAGGAGCTCCTCCTCCTCCTCCTCCTCCTCCTCCTCCTCCTCCTCCTCCTCCTCCTCCCTCTCCTCACGTATGGTAGCGGTAGTGCAGAGTGGGTCCGCACTCTGGCGCTGCGGCGCGTTCGCCAGGGAGGGCCGCGCCCTCGAGGCGCAGAGAGGCTTTGGCATGCCGTCGTCTCGCCGAGCGCGTGCCACCACTCGCAGAGTGCCTGCTCGCAGAAGGCCCTGATAAAACGATGGGCCTGTTTTCCACCACCACCACCACCACCACCATAAGTTGGAGGGGGAGGGGGTCCTCCTCTCCTCCCCCTCCTCCTCCTCTCCCTCCTCTCATCCCTCCTCCTCCTCCTCCTCCTCCTCCTCCTCCTCCTCCTCCTCCTCCTCCTCCTCCTCCTCCTCCACTTCATCCTCCACCTCCTTCCCCCCTCCAACTTATGGTGGTGGTGGTGGTGGAAAACAGGCCCACGAGAAAAAAACAAGCGTCTGCCTCGACGTCAGGCATCGCAGAGCCCCCTCGGCGGCTCCGGGCCGTTTGCGAGCATTCTTTTTGCGAGTAGTGGAGCGCGCTTGCCTAACGTCGGCGTGAGGCGGCGGAAGGCCAGCGGACGGCGGCGGGAGCGGAACGAGGGCGGCCCCGCCGTCGTGCCCCCCTCTTGTTGGGAGGAGCCGGAAGCTGAGCCCCTTCCGTCTGATGACGGTGCCTGCCTGCGGGTCTCGTTGGAGCCCGCTGGGGGTGCCAGGAGGAGGGCAGGAGCAAGAGTTCAGTCGGGCGTGTCCCTCTACAGGGGGAATAATCAAACATTGCTTAAACAAATCGTACGGGGACGATGTTTCTATGAACTTTGGAGTATTCCTTGGTTTTATTTTTAATTTTTCCCTCGAAATCCGCCTGTAGGGGGACACGCTCGACTCAAAGCAAGAGCAGGATCAAGAGGAGCCTGGCACGGGGGCCAGAGCAGTAATCTCCAGGACATCTCGTCGTTGTATCGGTCGAAGGTGGGTCGGACAGCGGGGCCAAGGCTTTCCTGGGGATACGGGATAGGTCTGTTGAAACTCGTTTCGGATGGGCAGCGCCGCACGGATGAGACAGGCAGGAGTAGTGGGAACCGTTGAGACGGTGCCCGTGCTTCTCCTCTTACGCTTGTAGTGATGTCATCTCCCCTGGGAAATCTAGGGAGGATATGCGGATTCTGTCATGAAGCTAATGATGACGAAGAGGAGGAAGAGGAGGAGGAGGAGGTGGCAGAACCATTCATATCAGCTGCGTAGCGTGAACACATGTATGCAGTTCAGGTGCAAGTGCAGGCACAGATGGGGGGGTACATGTGTAGGTACGCATTTGCGTGCACACGTGCACATACCAGTGGCAGTTTGGAACATCTGTGGTGCGTTTGGGGGCCCTCCTTTGGGCGTCTTGGGCTGTCTTCTAGGAGTATATGTCTGCAGAGCCCGCACTCATCATATAATCATCGACCGTCAGTTCTCCAGAAAACGGTATCTAGTTTTCAGGGGCCGCCACGATGTGCTCTTGGGCCATCTTGAAAGGCGTCTCGAGGGCCTCGGGCCGTCTTCGCATAGCTGCTTGGGCTCCGTCTGAGGGCCCGTCATGGGATCCTTCTTGGGGCCCTCCTGGCCCCTCTCGACGCTGTTAAACGGCGTCTTGGCCATCGTGGTGCGCGCGGTTGTGGCGACAGCGGCGCCAAGGGCCCCCTGTAGCTCGATGGCTCTGTGGCACGCCCAGCGCCCACTCTGGACGGCGGACCTGACTATCGGGCTGGTGCGGCCGCGTTACTGCTTGGCGCCCATCCTGGCTAGGCCCTCCCTGGACCTCAGGGATTGGCGCATAGAGCCTCCCCGCCTGAGCCGGGAGAGTCTGCGTACCCGTCCAGTGTGCCATCGTCAGAAGGCCTAGGCCTCCGAGGCCGTGATTTGCCTGAGGACTGTGGGCCCAGGGAGGTCCAGACCTGCCCGGGGCCCATTTCCCATCTCGAGTGATTTTTTGTTGACGGCCTCAGGGCCCCAGAGGCCGAACACATGGAAATCTCGCTCCGTCGTGATGGGGGTCCAATGCTGGGATTACCCATATCCACTGCCTGGGTCTCCGATCTTCCTCGGCCCCAACAGGCGGGGGACATGGACAGACACATCGGAGGCCCCTGGGTTCAATTTGTACACTTCCACTGCTCCCTGGGGTCCAGGGTCACCGGTCATGCACAGCCGACGCGTCAAACTTTTTGGTGGTCGCGCTCCCTTCGCTCGCTCGCTCCTCCTCCTCCTCCTCCTTCGCCCAGCAGCAAGGGGGTAGCCTGGAGCAGGGGGAGCCCAGATCAGCTGCACCGGCTCGCGCCGTGGCCGCACCCGAGGTACAAGCTGTGGAGCACATGACCGCGGCGCGCCCCTTTGGCGACCGGGTGGGCCCGTGTGGGCGGGGCCCGCGGAGGCGCGCCCGGCTGGCGGTGGGGAGGGCCGGCTGGCCGGCCTGGGCCCGGTTTGGGGCGTAGCTGCCCTGGTATACGCCCGTGTGGAAGCCCAAGACGTGCCGTGTTCAAAGCGTCCTCCTCCTCCTCCTCCTCCTCCTCCTCCTCCTCCTCCTCCTCCTCCTCCTCGCGTCATTAAAAAATCAGGACGGGAGGTTTTGGGCAGTTTTCGGCCTTGGGGGGCCCTCACCGGGCCTCGGGACCGGCAAAAAACGATCGAGGATGAGAGACCCGTCCTGAGGAAAGGGTCGGGACTTCCATGGACTCCGTATTGAAACAATCAGAACGTCGCATGGCGGTGACGCTGCGTGTTTGCCCGGCACGTGTTGGTCCGCGTTTTGGCGGAGGTATCGCGCCAGACCTGCGTTTTCCGTCTGCGTGTTGAGCTCCGTGTCAAGACGCTGCGCGTTGCGTGTTGCCACCGTTTTGCGCATCGGGGCAGGTAAGGCTTTGGGATCTCGCGGGGCCGTTTGGCCACCTCCTGACCGATTCCCAGACACTCGCGTCGTGCGAAAGTTTCGACGGACAGCTTGCCGTCGTTTTCGGCCCCGGGAGGCCCCGCCGGGGCCTGGGGACCGTCCAAGAACGACTTGGGATGGAAGACCGGCCCTGGGCAAGGGGTCGGGACTTCCGGGGAGCCCGTGCTGAGAAAAGTCAGGACGTCGCATGGTGTGGGGACCGCTTCTGGCCCGCTGGCCAGGCCTGGCAGGGACCTTCTCCTCTGCAAGGGCATCCATGGGGTCCTTGGGGCAAGGGTACCTGGGCGAGGCGGGGGCGTTTTGCCTTTGTCTGGGGTCCAGGTCATAGACATACAATCCAGGTGCGGCAAGTCACAAGTCCGCCACCGTGCCAGCCCAGCGTTCTCTGTGGCGACTCTTCGGGGTGCACAGGAGGCCGTCGCGCGTGGTATTTCGTGTCTTCAGGCTTGGTGGAGCCTTGATGAGATGCTGGGGATGATGATGTTGATGTTGTTGTTGTTGCTGATGATGTGCAAGATGATTATGATGATGATGGGGATAACGATGACGATGACGATGACGTCGACGACGATGACGATGATGATGATGATGATGATGCTGATGGTGATGGTGATGAGGATGATAATGAGGATGCTGATGTTGATGCTGATGCTGATGGATGGTGATGGCGACGATGACGACGATGACGACGATGGCGATAACGGTGACTCTGACGAGGTCGATGACGACGGTGATTCTGATGATGGTGATGATGGTAGTGATGACGATGATGTTTTTTTGGGGTGGTGATGGTGGTGGTGGTATTGATGATGATTATGATGATGGTAAGGGGGATGATGATGATGATGATGATGATGATGATGATGATGGTTATGATGATGATGATGGCGATGATGACGATGATGATGATGATGATGATGATGATGATGATGATGATGATGATGATGACGATGACGATTTCGACGACAATGACGACGACTATGATGTTGACGATGTTGACGAAGTTGATGATGATGATGATGATGATGACGATGATGGTGATGGCGATGGTGATGGTGATGGTGATGGTGATAGTGATGGTAAGGATGCGGATGATGCTGATGATGATGATGATGATGATGATGATGATGATGATGTTCATGATGAAGAGGATGATGACGATGATGTGGCTGCTGATGATGATGACGATGATGATGCTGCTGCTGCTGATGATGATGATGATGATGATGATGATGATGATGATGATGATGATGCTGCTGATGCTGATGCTGATGCTGATGCTGATGCTGATGATGATGAGGTTCGTTTGGGGCATCTTGGGGCTGTCTTGTTCTCTTGCGGGGCAGTCTGAGGGCTCTCTTGAGGACCTCTTGGGCCGTCTTGGGGCCCTCTTACGCCGGCGTTGGGGCTCTCTTGGTCCGTCAAAGTGCCCTCTTGGCCGTATGGCGAGTGTCTTGGGACCGTCGTGGACGGTCTTCGCGCCGTTTTGGCGCAGTCTTGGGCCGTCGAAGGGCCTTCTGAGGTTGTCTTGGGTCCCACGGGAGGCCCTCTTGGGCCATCTTGGGGCCGTCTTGGATGCCTCCTGGGTCATCGCGGAGTCCTCTTAGGCCGTCTTGAGCTGACTGCAGCCCGAAACGGCGAGAATGCGAAACTCATTCAAAACCTCAGGGAAATCACTGATTGTGGCGTCCCCAGACCCTGTTGGAGGTCCTCTTGTTGCCCTTTCTGGCCCTCTTGGAGCATCTTGGGCCGTCTTGAAGCAATATTCGGTCGCCTTGGCGCCTTGGGGCCATCTTGGGCCGTCTTCGAGGCATCTTAGGCCATCTTTGAGTTCTTAGTTGCCCGCACGGGCCGTCTTGGAAGCTCGGGGCGCACATCCTCAGTTTTTAACGAGGGATGGTGGCTTGGGAGGTCCTGGAGCGCTTGGGAGCAGCGCCTGGGAATGCGAGAAGTGCACTATCCTCGAGAGGGTGCGCGTGGGATGAGGGGTCTAGGAGTGAGCTGCCATGCGGGAAGTACACGATCCTCGGGATGCGGCGGCGGATACGGATGTGTTGGGCCCCCCCGGGTTCCAAAGGGTACCTGTGCCAACTGCCCCTTGGGGTCCTGGGGCATCGGCCTCCCGGGCGGTAGATGTGTACAATCACCAGCCTTGCACCCTTCTTCTTTTCCATGCCCGGAGGGAGGAGGAGACGAGAAGAGGGAAGGTTCGTAGTAGCTTCCACGCCCCTGCTTTGATAGCCGCAGCGTCGATTCCGATTCAGTGCCATCGTCCCTTTATGCTGAAGCCTTGGGTTGGGATGGCGCGGTCCAGGCCCTGGACTACTCGTTACCACTTTGCGCGCGCGGCCGTCGCATCAGTGAACCTGATTCTCGCTGGAGAAGGATGGGACGGGGGGGGTGGGAGTCCTCCTCCTCCTTATCATCATCACGGCCATCATGATCATCGTCATCACCATCATCAGCATAATCGTCATCATCATCATCATCATCATCATCATCATCACCGTCGTCATCATCATCAACACCGTCATCACCATCACCATCATCCTCATAGTCGTCGTCATCGTCATCATCAACATCATTATCACCATTGTCATCAGCATCAGCAACATCATCATAATCATCATCATCATCATCATCATCATCATCATCATCATCATCATCACTATCACCATCACCATCACCACCACTGTCAGCATCATCATCGTCATACTCATTAGCATTGTCATCGTCATCATCGTCACCATCGTCAGCATCATCATCATCACCATCACTATCACCATCGCCATCCCTATCACCATCATCATCATCATCATCATCATCATCACCATTATCATTATCGTCATTATCATTATCATTATCATCATCACCACCACCACCATCATCATCATCATCATCATCATCACCATCATCGTCATGACCACCATAAACATCATCACCGTCATCATCATTATCACCATCATCATCATCAGCATCATCATCATCATCGCCTTCCGTCCTCCTCTGAAGAAACAGCTACTTGCATAAACATCCATTATCGGAGGGCCCGCGCGGGCTTCCGGATCGGCGCTGGAGCGCCCTGGCGCCACCCCGGGCGCACTCCCTGGCGCGCCCCGCTCGCCAGGGAGCCTTCGTCCTGAGCTGGAGCCCTGGAGCTCCCGTCCCGAGTCGTTTTCGTCACGCCCTCGCGAGGCTCGGCGAGGGCCCCCCCGGAGGCCGAAGACAGCCCCAAGCCGCCCGCTCCGAGGCCTGCTGCTCGCCGTGCCCTCTCTCGTTGCAGGCCGAGGTGGACGCCGAGGCACGCAAGTGGAGCACTGAATGGGCCTGTGATGGGCCGCCTGGTGACATCCCATGGCCAAGCGATTGGAAAGATCGGGCCCCGTGCCCCAGCTCGCGGCCACTGCGCTGCAGACGGCCGCCCGCACCTTCTCCGCAGGCACCCCCGGGCAGTCTGCCGGTGCGCGGACGGCGCAATTTGGTCATTGTTCAGGCTTTTCTTCATGTGTGAGCTGCTCGGGACTTGGCCTGCCTCCATTGGGGTCGTCCTCATCTGCTTGTTACCCAAGCCCGATGGGGGCCGCCGCCCGATTGGCCTGCTGCCCAGCGTCATTCGGTGGTGGATGCGCGCCAGGCTGGACGTGGTGCGGGCGTGGCAGTCCGCCCACGATCGCCCTTTCTTTTACGCTGGCCCCTGGAGGGGCGCAGAGGTGGCCGCGTGGAAGCAGGCCGCCAGGGCGGAGCTGGCGCACTGTACTTCTTTTCTCAGCCACGCCAATGCGATGCTCGACGTGGTGAAGGCCTTCGAGCGGGTCTCCCACCACTGGCTTGCGAAGCAGGGCGCGCGGTACAGCTACCCCATGGCCGTCCTGAGGCTCAGCATCGCCGCATACCGCCTCGCTCGGTGCATCACTACTGATGGCGTCTGCTCGGTGCTGCTGCTGGCCACGCGCGGGATCACAGCCGGGGCCGTGCACGCCACCATCGAGCTCCGGCTGCTCCTCGTCGAGTGGTTAGACGAGACGGTTGCGCCGTATCGGTGCATCGTGATCACGGTCTACGTCGACGACACGTCCTTCGAGGCATCCGGCTCGGACCGGATGGTCTGCGACACCGTGGTTGGTGCTGTGAGGCACTTCACCGAGCGCCTCGTGGAGATCGGCATGGAGGTGAGTCCCACGAAGAACATGGTGCTCGCCTCGCGCCGGGAGTTGGCCTTCCGCATCGTGGACCAGCTACCTGGGCTGAGGCTGAAGGTCGTGGACAACGCCAAGTCGCTCGGGGGCGCCATGTGCTCCGGACGTGTCCGGCACGCCGCTCTACTGGCGAAGCGGCTCCGGGCATTCAAGGTGCGGAAGCCTCAGTTCCAAAAGCTGCGCCGCTGGATCGGGGCTCGCAGGACGGCCGCGGTGCTCCGGACAGGTGGCACAGCGGCCCTCGTGTACGGGCAGGCCAACACGGGCGTCTCCAGCACCATGCTTCAGTCCCAGCGCGTTGCAGTCGCTGCTGCCTCCGTGCCGGGCGGCCGCGGCGAGCTGGACCTCGCCCTGATCCTCGCCGACGGCGGCATGGGCGGCAAGGCAGACCCGGCGTTCGCCGCTCACGAGGCCCCCATAGCCAAGTGGGCCGAGGCTGTGTGGGAAGGCTGGCTGCCCAGGCCTGCCTTGAACAAACTCGTGTCCGCTGCTCTCGCAGTCCTGGTGGACTGGCCGTCGCCTTGGGCCATGGTGCGAGGCCCCGCCGCAGCTTTCGTGGCGTCGGCCCTGCGGCTTGGCTGGCAGATACTTTCATATGCCGAGGTGCGCACCGACCGGGGCCAGCACATTGATTTCACCAGGGATTCGCCGCCATGGCCCGGCGATTTGTGCAGCAGTCTGTGTGGCGCTGGCGGTGGCGACGCGTCGAGCGGCAGCATCCTCACAACGCCCGCGGGCCTGGAGGGCACGGGCTCTTCGTGCAGCCTATCTTCAAGCTCGACGGGAGGGATGGCGACAACTGGGGCCCCTCTGAAAAGGGCGCCTTGCGGTCAGCCTTCGCAAACCGGCAGCGGCCACAAGCGAGGCTGCACCGAGCAGGCCTCGCCAGCACCGCCAACTGCAGGTTGTGCGTGCGCGCGGGGCTGTGCGACCCGCAGGCCGATGATCCGAGGTTCACTGGGCATCTGGCGCACCGCATCCTCACGTGTTTGGCCACGGAGCCCTACCGGCAGAAAACGGCCCCCGCGTGGATTCAAGAGCTGGTCCGCCAGCACACGGACGCCGAGGGCACGCTGGCGCTGAGCCCTGCTGACCTAGCCCTGCTCACACGAGGCATCGCCCCGTCTCCTGCCTCTGCCCTGGACCCGCCGCCCGAGCAGGAGTCCTTCAAATGGGTGGTCCGGCCAGGCCCGCTGGCCGCGCAGGTTGATGCGTACGTTGACGGCTCCAGGCTGGACGGGGAGGCTGACCTCCACGACCTTTGCGCCCGCCAGGGTTGGGCTATAGCTGCGTACGACGGCAACCACGAACTCGTGGCGGCGGCGCATGGCCGCACCCCGCCGTGGGCGGTCGGCATTCACGCCACGGAGCTGTGGGGCTTGCTCATGGCTGTCCAGTCGTTTGACCCCGCTTCCTCCTTGAAGGTGGATTGTTCCGCTGTGCAGCTCGGGACGAAGCGGGACGCGCGCTGGGCCACCGCCCCCTGCCGGACCCTGGCCAGGGCGTGGGGGCCGATCTCGGCGGCTCTTGAGACCGAGCCAGACCGGGTGGCGTGGATGCCAGCTCATAACACTGCCACCAGCTACGTCGGCAAGTCTGCAGGCCCACGGCGTCGCTGGCAACGACCTCGTGGATGACCTGGCGAAGCAGATCGCCCGCCGCGATGCGCTGCCCCGGGCCCAGGTCCAGATGGTCCGCGACGCTGCCGCGCGCCTCCGGGAGGCCGCCCTGTGGGTCGGGCGGGCCACCGCGTACGCGAACCGGTGCCCTCTCGACGCCCTGACGCCCGTGGACCCCGGGGCCAAGCGGCAGTACGTGAGGGATTCCGAGGCGGAGCGGCCGCGACGCACACGCGGCTGCAAGCGCAAGGCCGCGCCTGCGGGCGACGCCCGCGAGCTCGCCGACGAGGCGGCGAGGGCCTGCCCGCCGCGCGCCGCGCCGAGCGCCGCCCGGGACTCGGCTGGCGGCGCGCTCGGCAGACCGGCAGTCGCCGCGGCGCCCGCGGCCATGGTCTGGCGCCAGGAGAGGGCCAAGAAGGCCAGAGTCGCCGAGCGACTGGCGGCAGCCCGCGACGAACAGCTCCTGGCCGACTGGCTGGCTCGCCGCCCGCCGCAGCCGCAGGCCAGCGAGGCCGCCCCCGCGGCCGACCGCATGGCCGCCTTGCGGGCCCGGATCGCCGCGAAGGAGAGGCGCGCCGAAGCGGCGGCAGTCTCACCAGGGTGCCACACCTGAGCCGTGTGGCGTGCTCGTGAATCCAGGCCACGGCAGCGCCTTCGGTGGGGCCGCAGCGCGCGCTGTCTGTTGCGCCATTGACCAAAAAAGGAGCGTCGAGATCTTCAGGAGGGAGGGGGGAGGGAGGGAGGGAGGGAGGAGGGAGGAGGTTGAGGAGGAGGAGGAGGAGGAGGAGAGGGAGGAGGGAGGGAGGAGGGAGGGAGGGAGGGAGGGAGGGAGGGAGGAGGGAGGGAGGAGGAGGGAGGGAGAGGAGGAGAGGAGGAGGAGGAGGAGGAGGAGGAGGAGGAGGAGGAGGAGGAGGAGGGGGGAGGAGGAGGATCCCCCTCCTCGGCCCGCCCCGCTCCGGCCGCGAGGCCGCCGACGACCTCCGGCGCAGCGGCGCCTCGGGCTATAACCGAGGGGCCGCGGGCCGCCGCGCGGGGCCTGGGGGCGGAGCCCCCCGCGGCTCGGCCGGCGGGCGGCGTCGGCCCTGGTACCCGGGCAGTCTGTCGGGCCGGACGAAAGGGAGGGATTGTCGGGGGCGGAAAAGAGGGGGGTGATGACTAGGGGGGGGTGGATATCATGGCGGGGGCCATGATATTTCCCAGATTTCATGGCGCCTCTTCTTATTTCATTACGTCCCTGGCCCCCCCGCTGGGCCGCGCACATGCCGCCGGTCATGATTTGCACCCCCCCCTCTTGGACACCCCCCTCTTGGCCGCTCCCGAGATTGGGAAGGGGGGGGGGTACTAAATTTGCTGCATGCAGCTGGTTTCGGCCCCACCAAGGGGCCCATGCATGGGGCCCATTCTTCGATACATGGCCGCCTCCGGCGCCAGGAGGCGCCGGGAAAATCAGCTACGTGAGCTGATTCTCAACCCCCCCCCCTTTGCTATCCCCCCCTTTCGCCCGACCCGAGTCTGGAAGGGGGCCCCGGGCAACGGCCTCGAGGGGGGTGGTGATGTTAAGTCGGGCGTGTCCTTCTACAGGAGGGATGGGCAGACACAGTAAGACAAGTAGTCTGGGGACTTTTGTTTGTTGCTGTCTTGTTTTTTTTTGATTTGTGTGTTTTGATAGGTTTGGACTCCGCCTCTGGGGGGACAGGCCCGATCTGATGGTAAGGGGGGCGGCCTGGGAGGGGGCGAAGGAGAGGGCCCCGAAGGGGGGCCCCTGCTGGCTGTATACGGCCCTCCCTTCTTCCCCCGCACGGAGGTCCCCCCCCCGATCACGGGCCACGGCCTCGGGGCCGCCGGGGCAACCACTGCGCCACCCCGTGGGGCAGCTACGGACGGCAGCTCGTCGTCGTCGTCGTCGTCGTCGTCGTCGTCGTCGTCGTCGTCGTCGTCGTCGTCGTCGTCGTCGTCGTCGTCGTCGTCGTCACTCGCCGCTGCGATGCCTGGAGAGGCGCCGACGCCGCTGCTCGCCCTGGGGACCTCTCGCCGCAGCGGCTGGGTTCGCCCCGAGAGTCTGAGCTCGGTCGCGCCCTGGGAGAGGCCTGGGGAGAATGCGGACTGGAACTCCGGCCCCGCGTGCCGCTCCGCTGGTTCTGGTCCACTGCGCTTCGGCGCGACACGCTGCGCATATCCTGGTCCCCGAGCGCCAACATCCCGAGCCTTCCCTCGCAGGCCTCGAGGTTGACACCAGCACCAATAATATCGGCGGTGTGCCTCCACTGGGGGAAGAGGATCCCGATCTCGGCGATGGGGGTGAGATTCCGGCTTTCAAGGTGGCCGAAAGATTACCACCAACACCGAAATCTGGGATCAGCTTCCCCCTGTGGATCAGCTTCCCCCTGTGGAGGCAGCCCACTGTGTTGGTGCTGGTGCCCATTGCCAGGCCTCCACATTCCCGAGCGTCCCGCCCTGCGGAGCGGAACGGCGGTACGCCATCCGCCTGCAAGGCATCGCGTGTCGCCGCGGCCGCCGTCGCGAGACGCCGAGCGAACGTCCCCGACCGCAGGGTCAGGGGTGATGGAACATATCGACCCCCAATCGTCTACTGATCGCCGACAGGGGCCCCATAGCCCACGCAGCCCAGTAGCGCCCCCCTCTAACAGGCGGGGGGGGGGGGGGTCGCCAGCAGGGGGGTCACCACCTCACGGAAACCGAAGGCCGACGAGGTCGATGATCGACTGATGTTTTGCTGGGCGTTTGTGGACGTCCCTGGCGGTCCTGTGGCGTCCAGGGGGGCCCCGTTTCCTGGGCGACGACGAGGGGCATTGCCTGGGGGGGGGGGGTGGACGAGTAGGTCGGCGACCTCCTCCCTATGTACGGTGAGCTGTCCCCTGCGGTGCCGCCCACCTGGTTGGCGCGCGCTCTTTTTTGGCGAGAGGGCATGGCCAGGAGGGGTGAGGAAGGGGGAGCGGAGACTTTCCCTCCCTTCCTCTCTCCCCCGTGCTCCCTCTCTCTCTCTGCTCCCTGTGACGCGCGAGGCGCGCGAGGACTTTGACGCTCATGCCGCTCCCCTCGACGCCCGTGCATGAATTGCAAAAAAGCCCCGCGCCGCGCGATGAATGGGGTGGAGCTGGAGCAGCCTGCGACTGCGGCGGCGGCGGCGGCGATGACGTCGCCGTCGTCTCAGAAATTTGTGGGGGGCGCCTCTGGAGGGTCTGGTCACCACAGCTTCGAGGCACCAAGACGGACCCTGGGAGGTCTGGGGGGGGACCGGCTTCGGGCACATCTTGGTGAGACGGAGTGCCGGTTGGCCATCAAGGAGAGGGACTCTTTGCAGGAGAGCCGGGTGCTGCCAGAGAAGTGCCCCTGGCCCAGGGTGCCCCCAGGATTCTCGGCGGGGTGCCCCAGACCGCCTCCAGGGCGCCCCTCACGAGGCCCACGGGGCCCCAGGGGCTCCAGAAGGGAGCGGAAGCTGGGGGCCCCTTGGGCCAGGGGCACTTCTCTAGCAGCGCCCGGGAGAGGGGTCCGGATCCATGGGGCCCTCCCTGCAGGGAGAGGGCCCGCAGATGTCCATGGGCACCGGGACCGCCAGAAAAACGGGCCGGGACCCCGGTGGTCCCGGAGGTGTCCAGGTCATGCTTCCTCGGGGCTCCATGGTCGGGGGCGGAAAAGAGGGGGGTGATGACTAGGGGGGGGTGGATATCATGGCGTGGGCCATGATATTTCCCCAGATCTCATGGCGCCTCTTCTTGTTTCATTACGTCCCTGGACCGCCCGCTGGGCCGCGCACATGCCGCTGGTCATGATTTGCACACACCCCTCTTCGACACCCCCCTCTTTGCCGCTCCCGACATGGACGGGGGCCGATGCCAGGGCGCCGGATCTTGCAGGATCCTGCAGAGACAGGGCTGCACTGACCCAGATTAGCGTACAGGATCCGGCAGGATCTTGCAGGATCCTGCAAGGCCTGACTGACCCGGGTTCGCGTTGACCGGGATCAGTGCGTCCCTGATTTCCCCAATGACCTTTGTTCTTCGTGCCCAGAGTCGTAGTGAAAGAGGCTGGAGGGGGGTGCGGAGAGTGGAGATTGCCACGCATTGCAACTTTCACGCACTGAAATCACCCGCTGACCCCACCACGCAGTTCCAATGTCAAGTGCCAAAAATGGGCACAAGGGCACAAGGTTGCAAGGGTGCAAGCCTGCAAGGACGCAAGGGTGCGAGGGCGTAAGGGCGCAAGGGCGCGAGGGTTAAGGGGTTGCACCACATCCGCTGCGCCACATAGATTGGTTGACATGGCTTGCACAATATGTGTTGCTTCACATCGATTGCTTAGCATGTGGCAGCCGTGTGGCAGGTGAAGGCCGTTGCCTCCTCTTGGCTCTGCCCGTGCCTGAGGTGGGCGTTGCTGGCTACAGAGTTTTTCCCTGGCCGTAAGACCTTTTGAAGTCACCACAAGATCACAATGCTCGTCAGAAAACTTGTTTTCCCTACCGGCCGTGAGGCCCGTGGGTCCCTTGGCCTAAAGGCCTGTTGGCCCACAGAAAGAAACAGACTGCGCACTGTGAGCCCTCCCCCCTCCCCCCCCCCCCGAGAGCTCCAGGATGGGGTAAGGGCGCAAGGGCACAAGGGCGCAAGGTTGCAAGGGCGCAAGGTTGCAAGGACGCAAGGGCGTAAGGGCGCAAGGGCGCGAGGGTTCAAAGGTTGCACTACATCGATTGCACCACCTATTTTGGTTGGCATGCATTGCGCAACATGTATTGCTCGAAGTAGAGTGCTTAACATGTGGCGACCGTGTGGCAGGTGAATGCAGTTGTCTCTTCTTTGCTCCGCTCGTGCCTGAAGTGGGCCTTGCTCGGCCACAAGGTTCTTTCCTGGCCGTCAAGCCTCTTTGGGTCACCACAGAACCATCATGCTCGTCGGGAACCTTTTTTCCCTACCGACCGTGAGGCCCCGTTGGGCCCGCGAGTCCGCTGCCTTTTTTCCCTCTAGGCCGTAAGGCCTGCTAGGGCCACAGAAAGACACAGACTGCACACCGTGGGCGCCCTCCCCCCCCCCAAGGGAGCTCCAGGATGGGGTAAGGGCGCAAGGGCGCAAGGGCGCAAGGTTGCAAGGGCGCAAGGGTGCAAGGACGCAAGGGCGTAAGGGCGCAAGGGCGCCAGGGCGCGAGCACGACATCGATCGCGCGTCATATATTGCTTGACGTAGATTGCACAAAATGGTTTGCTCAACATCGAGTGCTTCACATGTTGCGACCGTGTGGCAGGTGAAGGCAGTTGTCTATTCTTTGCTCCGCTCGTGCCTGAAGTCGGCCTTGCTCGGCTGCAAAGTTTTTCCTTTGGCCCTTTTAGGGCCACCACACAATCATCATGCTCGTCGGATTGTTTCTCCCTGCTGGTCGTGAGGCCCCGTGGGGCCTGCGAGCCCATTGCTTTTTCCCTTGGCCTTAAGGCCTGTTAGGGCCACAAACAAAAAAAAACAGACTGCGCACCTTGGGAGCCCCGTCTCCGAGAGCTACAGGGTTGGGTCCAACAATGACTGCCGAGGACGCAGGAGCAGGATGAAGAGGAGGAGGAGGAGGAGGAGGAGGAGGACGACGACAACGACGACGACGACGAGGACAAGGAGGACGAGGAGGACGAGGAGGACGAGGAGGACGAGGAGGAGGAGGAGGAGGAGGAGGCGGGGGGAGGAGTGAGGATGAGTAGCGGGGTGGAGGAGGAGTGAGGGGGACGATGTGTGAGGATGGGGAGGGGTTCAGAGGACCGACGGGGAGTCCCGTCATCACCGCCACCCCCGGCGCCCGCAGCCATTTTGGCTCAGCCCATGGCGGATCGCAGCCGGAGCCCCCAGGCACGCCACCAGCTGGCCGTGCGGGACCCCTGCCCCCCCCCCCGGAGGGCGGCCAGTTCGAGCAGGAGGCCTCGTGGGATCCGTACGTCGCTCGAGGGCCAGCGGAGGCCGCCCCTCGGCCGCCCCCGCGGCGGTCTCGCTGCCCATCTGCCCATGCGCCCTGGGCCGCGAGGTCCCCGCGCAGGCGTCGGTCAGACGCGGGCGCGCGGAGAGCCACGCCCACGCCGCCGCGGCAGAGGCGCTCGTCCACAGCGCGGGCGCCCCGCGCGGTTGCCGTTCGGGTTCTCTGCGGGGCCTGGGTTCCGCCGCTGATGCTGCGGGGGCGCCGCAGGCCCTCGGCCCGCCGCGCAGTCCCTGGCATGCCCCGTGGCGCCCGGGAGGCCCCGCCGCGCGGGTGGCTGCAGGGAGAACCGCCGAGGTCCTGCAGGAGCTGGTGCAGTGCTGGCTCCTCTGCCCTGAAGCGGTCGGCGTGACGGCGCCGCCGTCCCAGGGGCTGGTCGTTGGCGTTTCTGCGCGGCTTCACGATGAGGTTATCTTCGTCCTCGCGGTGTACGCCCGGCGCGCGCCGCGCGCAGACGTCGTGAGACCCGCCAAACCCGCGGTGTTCTAGTTTTCCTGTAGCCGCAAGGCTTTTTAGAACCACAACACACAACAACACACACCACACACACACACACACACGCACGCACGCACGCGCTCACGCACGCACGCGCGCACGCGCGCGCGCGCTCGCAGGCACGCACGCACGCACGCACGCACGCGCGCGCACATATACACACAACACACACACATATTCACAGACACACATAGACACACATAGACACACAGACACACAGACACACAGATACACAGAGACACACAGACACACCCAGGCAGACACAGACACACAGACACACACACAGACACACAGAGACACACACAGAGACACACACAGAGACACACAGACACACACAGGCAGACACAGACACATAGAGACACACACAGAGACACACAGAGACACACACACAGACACACACAGAGACACACACAGAGACACACACAGAGACACACACAGAGACACAGAGACACACAGACACACACACACACAGACACACACACATACAGACACAGCACACACAGACACACACACAGACACAAAGAAACACACAGAGACACACACAGAGACATACACAGAGACACACACTCACAGAGACACACACAGAGACACACACAGAGACACACACACAGAGACACACAGAGACACACAGAGACACACAGAGACACGTAGTGACACACACAGACACAGACACAGGCACACACAGACACACACAGAGACACACAGAGACACAAACAGAGACACACAGAGACACACAGAGACACACACAGAGACACACACAGAGATACACAGAGACACACAGACAGAGACACACAGAGACACACACAGAGACACACACAGGGACCCACACACACAGGGACACACACAGACACACACACAGACACACACACACACACACAGCGACACACAGACAGAGACACACATAGAGACACACACACAGACACACAGACACACACACAGACACAGACACAGACACAGACACAGAAACAGACACAGACACAGACACAGACACAGACACAGACACACGCACACGCACACACACACACGCACACGCGCACGCACACACGCGCACACGCGCACACGCGCACACGCACACACGCACACACGCACACGCGCACACGCGCACACGCGCACACGCGCACACACGCGCACACGCGCACACGCGCACATGCGCACACGCGCACGCGCGCACACGCACGCACGCACGCACGCACGCACGCGCACGCGCACACGCGCACACGTGCACACGCGCACACGAGCACACGCGCACACGCGCACACGCGCACACACGCGCACACGCACGCGCACGCGCGCGCGCACACGCACACGCACGCGCACACGCACACGCACGCGCACGCGCACGCGCACGCGCACGCGCGCACGCGCGCATGCGCACGCGCGCTGGCCCTAAGGCCTCGTAGGGTCTCTTAGGGCCGCCAGACAAAGAAGCAACAACAACACACATAACATAATGCGCATCGGGCACACGATGGGGCGCTGCGAGGTTCTCTTGCTTTTCCGAGCCTGCGATTGAGGCCTCTTCGGACCACCAATGAATAAAACAGACTGTGCATCGGGGGCACGATGGGGCGCCGCGAGGTTCCCTTGGACCTCCGACCACAAGGGTGCGAGCAAGTTGAAGGCACATGCGCCGGCATTTCTCTTCAGATGGTCTGCTGCTCGGGGCCGCCCCCGCCGCCTAGCGCCGGGGATGCCGCGCAGCGAGCCTGGCGCCAGGCCGCGGTCGCGCAGCCACTGTTGGACGAGTCGCAGCCGCACCCGGCGGCCTTCGGAGAGTGCTGGTCGGACTGGCGGCACCGACGATCTCGAGGAGTTTACCTGGACCAGCCCAGGCTCTGGGAGGGTGAGTGGGGCGACGCGCGCCAAGGCCAGCGGGGCTGGCGCTGGCGCCGCCCCCGCGGTGTGAGGAGGCAAGACGGAGATTGGGACTGCCCAAGTTGCGGGGAGATCCAAGGACCGCTGCTTCAAGTGGGGGCAGGTGCGGCCCCGGGATGCGCCTGGCGCGAGCGGAGGCGCGAGCGGAGGGGAAGCCGCCCGCCAGCCCGAAGGACCCCTGGACAAGCCCCAACGACGGGATGACGCGGGGCGGGCGCTGCCCCCGATGCCAGGGGAGCGTCGGAGGGCTCGCCGCGAGGTGGGGGACACAGTGCACTACTGGAGCGAGACTTATGAAAATGGAACGTCGCTGCGGCGCCGACGCTGCCGGCCGCGGGAGTCCCGGAACTGAGCATCAAGCGGCGGGCCCCCGAGGCGCAGATTCAGGATGTCGATGTGGCGAGGCTTCCGGCGCAGTTCGTCGGGGTCGTAACCGACTGTGCGGAACGCGTCCGCGCGGCCCACGCTGAGGGGCTGGCGGTGGCCGCCAGTTCCCCGGCGTCCCAAAGCAGCCTGGGGCGTAGGAGAACTTGCCCGGCGACCGTGGCGAGGCGCCTGGGCGTGGCCGAAGCTCCGAAGGGCCGGGCTCGTCGGGCCCGCCGCGCCGGTGCCGGGGCCGCGGAGGTCCCGCGATCGGCTTCTTCGCCGGAGCGAGGCGCGTAGGAGTTCGGGCGTCCGCGACGGGGCGGGGCGCCAGAGGACGAGTAGCTGGGCGGTAGGAGGAGGAGGAGGAGGAGGAGGAGGAGGAGGAGGAGGAGGAGGAGGAGGAGGAGGAGGAGGAGGAGGAGGAGAGGAGGAAGAGGAGAGGAGGAGGAGGAGGAGGAGGAGGAGGAGGAGGAGGAGGAGGAGGCGGAGAAAAAGGAGGAACACAACGATAATACGGACCAGTAGAGCGGAGGAGGAGGCGGCGGACGAGGATGAGGACGTGGAGGAGGACTCCGAGCAGGAGGAGGAGGAGGTGGGAGGAGGAGGAGGAGGAGGAGGAGGACGCGGAGGAGGAGGGAGGAGGAGGAGGAGGAGGAGAAGAGGAGGAGAAGAAAGAGAGGAGGAGGAGAAGAGGAGGAGGAGAAGGAGGAACAGGAGGAGGAGGAGGAGGAGAAGGAGGAGGAACAGGAGGAGGACGAGGAGGAGGAGGAGGAGGAGGAGGAAGAGGAGAAGGAGGAGGAGGAGGAGGAGGAGGAGGAGGAGGAGGAGAAGGGGGAGGAACGCGGCCGAGGAAGGAGAGCGAGGAGAGGGATTGGGTGGGGCGAAGAGTCATGAGCGAAGGGGGCGGGGAGTGAGGCGGTGGTTGTGGGAGGAGGCGGAGGAAGGGAAAGCAAGGAAGTCGTTGCGCACTCTGGCGGCCGAAGGCGCAATGGAACAAGGGGGCAAAGGAGCAGGGTTGCCCCCCGTAGCTAAGGGAGAATGGGAGCAAGGGAGCGTGCCCCCTCAGGGGCAGGGGCGCATATGAGCAAAGGAGTACAGGAGCAAAGCTGCTCCCAGCGGTAAAGGGAGGAAGGGAGCATTGCTGCTCCCTCAGCTTAGGGGGCAAGGGGGCACAGAAGCAGGGCTGCGCCCTTCGCGGACAAGGGGCAAGGGAGCAGGGAAGCAGGGCTGCTCCCTTGGCGGCAAGGAGGGCAAGGGAGCAAGGGGGCAACCCGAAATTTGCACCCCGGGTACCGCCCATTCTGCACGGGTGCTCAGAATCTTATCCGCACTGGGGAAAGCCGATGTGCCCCTCCAGGCGGCCCACCAAAGCACGCGGCCGAGGCTGAAATTTAGAAGTTGCAGGCCAAACCCGTCTGGTTTTGTTCTTCGTCCATGTTGTTCATGACTCCAGTTGTCACTCACACCTAGTATTCCCAGCATGCATGTTCCTCTTCCTCCTCCTCCTCCTCCTCCTCCTCCTTCTCCTCCTCCTCCTCCTCCTCCTCCTCCTCCCCCTCTCCCCCATCTCCTCCTCCTCCTCCTCCTGCTCCTCCTCCTCCCTCCTCCTCCCTCCTCCTCCTCCTCCTCTCTTTCCCTTCTCATCCCCACCTTAGTCCTCCTCCCTCCTCCTCCTCCTCTCCTCCTCCTCCTCCTCCTCCTCCTCCTCCTCCTCCTCCCCTTTCCACTCCCCCATTATCATCCTCCTTCTTTCTCTCCTCGTCCTCCTCGTTCCCCCTCCCCCTCCCCCCCCAGACAAAAATCCCTCCTGGCGTCGGGAGGCCCAAGAGGCTGGCCCAGCGGACGCCGTCGGCGCCGCGGCCCAGCGGTCGCCGCTGCAGGACTGATGGCGTCACCGGTCGCCGCCGGTCGCTGGCCGCCGCTGGTCGCCGTCGTCGTCGTCGCCGCCGCCGCCACCGCCGTCGTCGTCGTCAACGTCGTTGTCGTCGTTGTCGTCGTCGTCGTCGCCATCGTCGCCGTCGTCATCGTCGTCGTCCTCGTTGTCGTCATCGTCGTCGTCGTCGCCGTCGTCGTCGCTGGTCGCCGCTGGTCGCCGCTGGTCGACGTCGTCGTCGCCGTCGTCGTCGTCGTCGTCGTCGTCATCGTCGTCGTTGTCGTTCTCATCGTTGTCGTCGTCGTACCTGTCGCCGTCGTCGACGTCGTCGTCGTCGTTCTCGTCGTCGTCATCTTCGTCGTCGTCGCCACCGCCGCCGTCGTCATCGTCGTCGCCGCCGCCGTCGTCGTCGCTGGTCGCCGCTGTTCGCCGTTGTCGTCGTCGTCGTCGTCGTCGTTGTCGTCGCCGCTGTGGCTCGTCTATGTCCTCAGCCTCCGTCCTCCGTCCTTCATCCCTTTCCCTCCCCCCATCCAGTTCATCCCGTCTCCCTCGCACTCTCTGCTGGGGGAGGCCTACGGGCCCGCTCGGAGCGCTCGCGAAGGCCGGGGATCCCCAGGCTTTTGTTGTCCATTCTGCCTTGGGCTTCAGGGCGGTGCGGCCAACTTGCAACAGGCTGCGCTGTGTTTGGGCCTCTTGTTTTCACGGAGAGTGGTTGTGCCAATGCTGCCAAGTCCTCTCTCCTCCTCCCTCCTCCCTCCTCCTTAGCCGCTCTGGCCCAGGATTTGGGCTTGCCACAACCGTCTTCCAATCTGCAAACGCTGTGGCTCGCCTTTTCGGTTTTCAGTGCAGTTCGAAGGATCTCAATTCTCACACTTTCAGTGGGCTCGTGCAGGCGCAATCGTTCACGTCAGTGTCCCGCGCATGGGGCAGGATCCAGATGCCCCCCCGGGCCCGATGCAGCCAACGTGGGTATGCCCGTCGTGTGGAGGGAACGCGAAGCTCGCGTGCCGTATCAAGTGTTCGTATGGGAAGAAAGCACCCCAGCAGGTCATCGACAAACCGAAGAAGCAGTCGAAGCAGCCGAGCACGTCCAGATCTCGGCCCCCTGGTGGTGCTTCGGCTCGCGGTCCTCCGAACGGTGACAGCTGCAATATTGTGGTGCGCCAGCTCGGCCAACTCCAGAAGCAGATGGCACAGTTTGCCAGGCAGCTCGGCGGTGCTGCTCGCAGCCCAGCAGCCAAGGCTTCTCCAGATGCAGCAGACGGCGGGGCGGAGGCAGCCGCTGATACTGCGGGACGGCGGCTCCAATACCAAACCCCTGGAGCCCGCCGCCGGTGCCATCCGCAACGATGAGCAATTCCCCGCGACGATCAAAGAGGCTACGGAAAAGGACGTCCGGGACGTCCGCAACAACTTCAACGCAGTACCAAGCCGTCTCCGTCCAGGCGAACTGCGCTCGAGCACAAGTTGGCGAGACCTCCTACCAAGTTCGAGAAGGGGAATGATGATACCAGAGTCCAGAAGAGCCTCATTCAAGCAGCAACCAAGGAGCTCGTAGCATTCGGGGAGACAGATCGGTTAGCGCGCGTGGAGGTTGAAGCTACCAAGCTCGAGCTTCGCACCGCCATGTCCCAGATCGCCCCGGCTGCGGCGCCCAGCTGTCACAGTTGGCGCGGTCAAGGATCTGCCCCAGATTCAGCAGTTCATGGCCACGCCCGCTTTCGGCAAGTGCCAGCAGGAGTTGTTGCGAGCCCAGTCCGAGGCTCGCGTGGCTGCTCAACCCTCCGAGCCCGCAGGTCCCCAGGCCCAGCCAGGCGGCAGACGAGGACGAAGGCTTGATGTGGTGACCAAGAGGGGGTGAACGAGGAGAACATTTTGCCAAGCTCCTCACCGCAGTCAGATCAGGTGGAGGCCACACTCGCGTTATACACGAAGTGGTGAAGCAGCTGGGAGCACAGGGCGAGACTGTGTTCAGAATGTCCGTCCCTAGATGTTGTGGGTTTGCTCTCGCCAGCGCAGGTGATCCCGTCCTTCCTCTGGGGGGGGGAAGGCGTGCAGGTCCGATGTGGGACAGCAGCATCACTTTGAGAGTTTCGACGGCGTGTGCTGGGCCGCACTTACGAGGCGCTTGAGGGGGAGCACCGCTATTCTTGTTCATGCCCAGGAGGTCGGCACGAGTGCAGATTTCATGAGGCACGCGACTGATGCAGCTCGACGCTTAGGGTGGCGCGTTCTTTCTGCCCCGAGCTACCCCAATCCGGATGCGGAGAAGCTATCCTCGGGAGCGACAGTATTTGGCAGGCTCAGCATTGGGCTCCGCTGGCCTCCAGGCGGTGAGCAATCTGTGGCGCCCAGTCGAATCATGCAGGTTTCGGTGGATTTCCCTGGCTGGCCCACGACCTACGTGTTCACCGTTTGCCGTAAGTCCGCGGAAGGTTTGGGCCTTTTCCACTACGGCTCTCCTGGCCAAGCTGGGCCAGGCCGCCTCGGACACCGCCCGCTCCGTCATCGCGGGGGACTGGGACACGGCGCCAGCAGTGTTGGAGACCGCAGTTGCTGTGCGCAATCGAGGCGTGCCCGCGATGGCGCCCGCAGTTCCTGCGCGCAGGTCCCCGTCGTCGGGCCCGATCATCGTTTTTCGTTCTTGGCAGGCTCTGCTCCTCCTCGGGAACCTTCGCTGGGCTGGTGGCAGCGAGGCCGAATTCGCTTCCTTGGCTACGCGCCGCATCGCGCAGCTGCCCAAGGTGCCCGAT